CTTGACATAAAATTTAATTTTTTTTAGACGGACTTTTTAATCTTTCACTACAGGAAAACTGTGAATTACATGGGGATTTTTCTAGGGATTAGAATGAAAATCCGCAGAAAACTTATTTTCTTGCAAATTTTCATACTAATCCCCAGAAAAATCCCCATGTAATTCACCCTTTTGTTATAGTGTTTTAGTCTTAAATTAAAGATATGTAGAAATTAGAATGTACCAAAAAAAATTTTAATCTTGTGGTCTCAAACATGACGGGTGAAAACTTGAAATTAAAAGCTTGTCTGAAAATTGACGAAAAGAGATATTCTTTTTTAAACGAACTAAAAAGAAACAAATTGAAACAAAAACAGTACTAATTTCACATGAACAAGTTGAATAAGAGGTTTGTTAAGTCTACATCAGGTCAACAAATTAAAGTGAAAAGGATGTATTTATGTTCCCCTTATAATTAATAGCTAGCTAACACGAAGAAAATTAAGATTCCAAATAAATTTGTTAAACGTAAGGTCTGTCATGTTTATGACTTTGATAAGAAAAGAACCCATAAATTAGAAAAAAGAATTAATGGAACAAACTATTAATTAGACCAGTAAACAGTGCTTCCATTAGGAAAGAAGCAACACATGAGTTGTTCTTCCAAGAATATAATATATGGTCAATGCTTATTTTCTTGTCAATATCAAATGCCAAATCTTTTTTTTGTCTTCGCTAAACGCCAAAAATTAAACGATAAACCTTTTGATTGTGAAGTCAAAGAAGTTGGGAACCTAAAAAAGGCAAAATTATCTCTACGAATCTGAACAAATGCAGAGCGAAGCAAGACAAATTCTTGTGAGACTAAAAATATTTTCGTCAATCAGTCGTCACTAAATATGTGTAGCTAAAAGTATACAAAAAGGATTTAATGCTTCGGCGCTAAAAATATTATATTAACTACAAAAAGAAAAATTGTCTCTTAAACATTTATGACAAATTTATTTGTTGTAAAAAAAAAAATGTAGTTAATAGTATGCTTTGTCACTAAAAAGGTTATTACTACTGACAAAATTATATCGTTGCTAATTATTTTACTTCAATCAGTGACGACATCAATTGCCTCTAAAGTTATATGTATTTCGTAGTTGAACAAAATCTAATTTCGTCACTAATGACTATATTTTATATACAAAAAATTACTTTGTTCTTAAATAAATTAATTAGGGACAAATTTATTATCATAAAAAAGGTTAATTTTCCTATTATCTCTCATCTCAATTTTTTTAAATCCTCCCAAGGAGCTCCCACATTATGCTTTCTTGGGGACTCAAACTCACAACCTTAAGGTTAGAAGTGATGAGTGATTACCATCCGATCAACTATCTTTTGTCTCTCATTTTTATTTTATTTTTTAACTTCATTCACTTCTTTCATATTTAACTTCTGTAGAAATAATATACTATATCATTATTTATACACATACACAAATGCATGAAATTTACCACCCACAATTAATTCAAATGTAGATTTATTTTAATTAAACTACATGTTTTTTAAAATATCTTTAAATATATTCAGTACGATTCTGTCATTTTATTTATTTATTTTTATAAATTTTAAAAATTATTCAGTTTAATTATAATTTTTTATAAAATTAAACTTTAGATTTTATTTCAAAAATTGAAAAATCGGTTCAATTCGATCAATAAATCAATTGTTTTGAAAAAAAAACATCAATACCCATAACTATAGTACTTCATCGTAGTATATTTGAAATCCTATTTAGTTCATTTCTTTCATTTGTGCTTTCATTTTTTAGTTTATTTCAATTTTCAAACTTATGAAAAAAGTTAATAGAAATTCATGAAATATTTCGCACCTTTGCAAAGTCTAAGTTTGTAAGTCGATAGTAATTATGTATAGTTGCTCTACGTACGTATGTGGAATTACTATTAAATATGTACATATTTTTAGACAAAAGCAAATAGATCGACTTAATCTATGTAGTTTACCAATCACAAATCAATAGACACACACAAAAATTAGCACGAAGACTTGAGAAATTATTTTTTCAATTGTCTTTATCGATGAAAGTGAATATTAGCGATCTAGTGGTAGAATCGTACCCCCACTCACGGTACTTATAACCTGGATTGTATTTTTCAAATGATGCATTTTATAATTGCGTAATTTAAGAAAATTGATGAATTGAACTTTTTTATTTTTACAAAATCGATCGAATTAGTTGGTTTTAATATTTTCCCTCGTCAAATAACGAATGGACTCTGTCTATTTCTTATGAAGCACTTGTATTAATCTTTTTGTAAGTTGACACTTGTAATTATGAACAATTGTAGCAAAAAAAAAGTATTTAGCTATGAATTTTTTTCGTATCAAATAGTTGAATTATTCACTACAAATTTTATGTCGTCACTATTTAATACCTTACATATTTTGTGACAAATTTTTTGTTGTCACTAAATCACAGATTGATTAGAGACAATAAAATATTGTCACCAATTATTTATATTATTAGTGACGAAAATAAATATCATAATTAAATCTATTTTTTATAGCTAAAACTTAAAAATATTTAACTACAAACTCTAATATATCAATATTGTAACAACATATTTTTTTAGATGAAATTTTTTTGTGTCTAAAAATTTATAAATTCTAAGACAAAAAAATATTTTGTCATGAATTAGATACATTATAAGTGACGAAATAATGTGTCATCGATAACTTTAAATTCGTGACTAACACTACTTAAAAAATGGCGCCAATTAATTTTTTGGTGAAAGCTTTAGTGGACAAAACTTTGCTACGGATTGTTGTGTTTTGTCACTAAAATTACGTGTCTCATATATTTATGCAAGAAAAGTAAATTTTGTCACTAAAAGTGAACAATTAGTGACAAATTTAATGTCGTAGCTAATAATTTTGTAGCTATATATCATATTTATTGTAGTGGTATATGCTTGAAAAGAAAAAAAGGAAAATTATGTAATGTACAATTTGGACAATTACTTTATCAATATGGTTGAAATATAAATAACCATATATATTTTGATAATTGTGTTTGTATATGTTGTGTATGGATATGCTTATTATTTGTTTGATATGTATATTTAATATTAAATATACACTATCTATACATTGTATACATATTGTATAAACTGATTGTTAATGGTATTCGGCTATTTATTTATTTATTTATTTTGGCTTTTTGGGAAGTTTCAGTTTTTTTTTAATCAATGTCTCTCATTATTTCATCAAAAACAACATGCCAAAAATATAACGCTCTACTAAGTTAGTTTGGTGTCAGGGCGGGTAAATGAGTTATTAGAATTGAATTTGGTTGAGTTAAAATAAATTGAATTAATAAATAAATTATTGCCCAATATTACTTTTAAAATATTTTAAATATCAATGGTACTTTATTTGAATATCGTTTTTTAACTTGTATGTAATTATTTTTAAATAAAGTTACATGTTTACTTATTTTGGATTAACTACTGATATTTATATTTTGTCAAATCTAATTAACTTCAACATTACATGTTTGAAGTTGTTTTAAAATGAATAAACATATACATTTTTACGCAGTGCAATCTTGACTTAAATAGTAATTTCAAAATTGATTATATGTGCACTTCAACCTTAAATATTAATTAAGTTGAGATAAGTCGAATTAAAATGAACTAAACAATGTGTCATGATACAAACCACTCAACTCTTACCACATTTTGTGAAGCATTTAGATAATTTTGTTGGTTAACAAAGATATGGTCCTAAAATATCTCATAAATTTTTAAATATTTTTTTTGCGTTTGATAATAAATATTATTTAATTTAGGAGTATTATACTATTCTTAATAAATTGCAAGCTATCTAAAGGTGTATATATAATTTCAATACATTAAGTTTGAATTGAATTATATTTTTGTATGGATGAAAATTACTATTATAGGCTTAATAGTTAAGGTGCAAGTGATGCAACGTATACATAGTAATAATAATCTCAGAAAATGTATATCACAGTCGAGCTAATCTTTTATTTGTTTTTCTTCACCCTTTTTTGTCATAGTGAATATAGAGAAAAAATAAATTAATTTCAATTTGAATTTTGATTTGGCCAATTATAAAAGATCGGGTAAATCACAATTAACTTAAAATGGATTGGAAGCACCCCTCACTTCCAACCCGAAGGTTGTGAGTTCAAGTCACCAAGGGAGCAAAAGGGGTGGGAGCTAGGAAAGGTAAAAAAAAAAAAAAACGTAAAATGGATTGAACAGGCACAATGTGCAATTATATAGTTCTAAAATATTTAAAGTTAATGAATCGTGACAAGTTTATATTTACAATGAAAATAATAGTATATTACCTTTAAATTTGCACTCGTCTCTATTTTAAATATACTAAAATTAATATTATATTGTTATAAAATATTTGAAATTTATGATTTTAAATTATAGTAATATTTATGTAGCAACATGAGTTGTGGTGTAGTAGTGAGACTGTTTCAGCCTTAACCAGAGATTTCAGTTCGAGCCTGAGTATGATTTTTTTTTATTGGGAGCGTCACCCATAATGAGTCCTGCAGTAGCCTATAAGACTGATCATGCCCTGTTGCTTGGCTTGGAATCAAACTAGAGATTCATCCTAGATTATTCCAGCAAATAGCAGAATCGTGGCTAGGGAACTATACTAGTGACCTACCCAAGTTATTGTCAAATTTTCGCGATCAATGATTGGACAATGCAAACTAGAAATGCTTTTTCTTGGCTAAAGAAAGAGACTACTCTATCTATTTGGCACACGTAGGCCCGACACCAGAGGTTGGTTGGCGCATTCGGTAAAGCATTCCGCTAGCTGGCGCATAGCAAGCAAGAACGCTCAAAGCAAAGCTAGCAGTAAGGTCCAGAGCAGGAGCATTAGGGTAAGCGATGGCCGCTGCATGGTGGAATTTAGCAAATTACCGGAAACCGGCACCACCTATTCGAGTAAGAATTGTGCTCACCGGGTAAATCCGAAAAAGGAGAATTGAAACTCTATCTTAACCGGATTGGAAACCAAAAAGATATATCTATGTAACTATAAAAACTTGAATTCAAGATAAATAAAAAATTCCCCCTAATAACTCCATCATGGTTTGTTTGTACAATCGAAGGCATTTCTGGTAACTTGAGTAACAATCCATTTTTCTTCTTCTTCAATCTTCACAGTTCTTCCCCAAATTTTAATTTTACAAAACAAACTTGCAGAATCTTCTTCCCCAGATTCATTTTCTTCGAGTGTTTATACGGGTTTCAAGGTGGAGTGTTGAACACTAATGTCATTGTTCTGAATTCTGTATCGCCGCTAAGCTGAAATGGAAGCCATGGTAGTTTTTTGATTTTTTTTTTTAATTTCATCAAAAAAATTTCCCCCAATTTGATGTTATCTTGCATTTTTTATCAATCTTGTTGCTTCAAATCAGTTGTTTGGAAGTTGAATGTGTGAATCTTGGTGAAGTAATAATGTGTTTTGAGTTATTTGCTGCTTTAATCGCATATTAATCAGTTAATTGTATTTGATTATGTTGTTGAACTTTATTTATCTTTTTCTTTATTTGTAGTCCACGAAAAAGAAATTAATTACGAGAGATGATTGGGAGAAGAGGCTAAATGATGTAAAGATTAGAAAAGAAGATACAGATAGATTGGTAATGAATTTTCTAGTCACAGAGGGTTATGCAGAAGCTGCAGAGAAGTTCAAAATGGAATCAGGGACGGAACGTATCCTTATGTCGAAAGATGATCATGTTATGTTTTATACAAATGTGTATGTTATTGTTTGCGTATTTTGTTTATCCTTATGTTGTTAATAGCTGAGATAGATCTTGCTACCATCAAGGACCGGATGGCTGTAAATAAGGCTGTGCAGTCTGGTAATGTGGAGGATGCAATCGAGATGGTTAACGATTTGAATCCCGAGGTATGCCTGCTGATTATCATGTACATGTGGCTAGAATGATATCTCACAGTATAAACACATCGTCTATCTAGTGGTATAATTTGAGTTTCTTGTGGTTTGCATGTTTTTGTTTTTTTGATTCTTATTATATATGATGATCCACTCTTTATGTTAAACATGGTAAAGCTTTCATATTCCTTTATGTGTGTGTCTGAGAGATAGATAGGTGATCCGTTAGCTGTATGTGTTAAGAGTGACATTCCAAAAGAAATGATAGCAAACAGGGAAGTCATTAGAACAGAAGATGATGAGGAACTATTTACAGTGCACAGCTGCGGAGAGCACTTCTTTTTTGTGACTCAGTAAAAGAAAACAATTACTGGAACAATTTTCAAGGCACATCAACTTTATGAATCTTGATGCCTCTGAAGACAAATGTTCATTTCTGTTTTCTGTTTCACTCTTTACTGTTTGCTCATCAATGAATAGAAGAGGGAAAAATGTAGGGACTCAGTATTAGTCGTGTTCTAATTTTGTAACCTGACATTTGATTTAGTTAAATCAAGGTGTGGATGTGATCCAGCACTTATCATATACTGTTCCTTTTTGTATTATTTTTTTTCTTCTTTTCCCTGGACATGTGTTGTGTCTTCTTGCATGCATCTTGACTGATCCACCTAGATTCAAATCATGCATCAACAATTTGTTTATCTCCTTGTGGACAACAGTCTTCATAGTTCTTATAATTTATATTTCCCTTTTCCTTTGGGTTTGTCCTTGTTATCTTATGTTTCTGTCCAGAAGTTAAATAAATGTCTGTGTTGCTCACTTCCCAGTGGAACTATTAAATCCTTGGAGAAGTGTATAGTCTTTACTGCTAGCACATTCCATCAGTTTGTGCAAATGTTAAATGGAATCTATTAATCATTCTTCTTAACCTGTCTTCTAATCCGTGTTAAGATACCCTTGACCCTTGTTACAGAGGATCTGTTAATCATCTTCTGAACTTTTTTTGTTTGTTTCTAACTGATGGTAACAATAGCTTAGCCCTTGTTATTTTGACTTCAAAGCAAAGCTTTCCTATATGAGCTTGAATTCTGCCTGAAGTCTCCTAAACTCCAAGGTCAAGTATTAGTCACAGAATTTTATGCTGGGATATGGATCTTAAGAGTTCTGATCATGAAACTGCTCGAGCAAGCTTTTTATGAACATATAACTGAGGGGACGATAAATTGCATTTGTTTGAAATGACCATAGAGTATAGAGAAGCTCTTGAATATAAGCAGATAGCATGAAATAGACAGCTCTGTCCCTTGAGGGGGTTGGTATTATGTAAGAGAATTCTTCATCTGGAAGGTTTATGGTTCTTATGCAACTTTTTAAATTTGCAGTTAAAACCTAAAGAATACAAACAAACACATAGGAATTGAACTCACTCAGTTCCTTAGTATGCTAGGTAAAACTTTGAGCAATTAAAGCATTTGAACTCACTCAGTCACTCTTGGAATCTTGTTAGTTTTACTTCAGTAAACATATGTTTGAAGTTTGCTTTATTGTTGTGCTATCCTTTTCTTTTTTCTTTTTGCTTTCTACGTCATCTCTAGCTTGTGCCTCTTCTCGATAAAAGAAATATTTTTTGGATAGAGCTGAAGGAATACAAAATTGACGATAGAAGATCCTGATGCAAACTGTCCAAAATTATTGTGTTACCTTTGAATATTTGAACCCTTCCTATAGAAAGTGTATGCAAACTTCTGGTTTGGTTAATGACATGGAAACCAGTTTATAATTGTTGTCTTAGATTAGAATTAGACCATACGGACCATGATCTAGTTTCTTACTTCTAACCTGAGCTATTATGCATGGCAATGGGTTACAGGCCCCTATTATCTTTTCTTTTTTCTATTTTTCCCTAAAAAAATAGGAGATTATCTAATGTTGTTTCTATGTAGCCAATATCAATTTCCCCCGTAGCTGATATCAGATCAGGAACGTGATGTTCCCGAAGAATCCAAACGATGTTGAATTTTCTTTTTTTGGTTCATTGTTCTGTTATTTTGTGGACACATATGCCTTGCCTTTTGTCTCTAGTATTTTTTCTCTTGTCATCTCGTGAGATTAACAGCCTAGAAAATCTTGATACTTAGAAGGTTATCACAAATGAGTGCTGATTTTTAGGTTGTTTGAGTTGATTGTATCCTAAGTTTACCTTCATGAATGCAGATATTAGATACGAATCCCCAGCTCTTTTTCCATCTCCAACAGCAAAGGCTGATAGAATTGATAAGGAATGGAAAGGTTGAAGAAGCTTTGGAGTTTGCTCAAGAGGAACTAGCTCCAATGGGAGAAGAAAATGTAAGTATTCATCTTTAAACACTATGTTTGAGATTTCCGTAAGTTTCTTTTTTCCAATGCAACATACATCTTCACTCAATCTATATTATCGAATGAGAAATGCAAGTCTTTGCTCTAACTCTCAGTTTAACTTCATATATCATCTGCATTTCAAATCTTGTCTGGCTGAACTTCCTAGTTCTGGACATTAAAACCCATTGACTGGGGGAGTTTTTCCATGGTTTTTTCTGTTTGACTAATTATAATAACTTTACAGCAAAGCTTCTTAGAAGATTTGGAGAAGACTGTTGCATTGCTAGCTTTCGAAGATGTATCTAAATGCCCAGCTGGAGCGCTTCTAGATGTATCCCAGCGCTTAAAGACCGCAAGCGAAGTAAATGCGGCAATTCTCACCAGCCAAAATCATGAAAAGGGTTAGTCCCATTTTCATTAAAAAAAAAATTACTTGATCACTCCTGATATAGGCCTGTGGGGAGAGCCTGATGTCTAATTTGGACATTTATTTAATAATGATCATGGCATTTGATTCGTGTTTTGATTATGCAACAGATCCGAAGCTTCCAAGCCTATTGAAGATGTTGATATGGGTACAGGACCAGCTTGATGAAAAAGTTTATTACCCTCGCATAACCAATCTGTCGACTGCAGCACTTGAAAATCCTGCTGTCTAAAATACGATGCAAGTTCCCTGAATATATAGCTAAGGCAAGAAGACCTTGTACTCTTTTAACCACTCGTTGCTGGTTGATTCATTTTCATTGATCTATGGTTTCTTAGGCATACGTTAGTTTTGACAGCAGGATGTGCAGTTAACTACTCGATGTAAACAAACCTAGTTATACCTTCCTATCTTAATCACGAATCACTGAATCTGTTTGTGCTTTTCGTAGTGTTGCGTTTGGAAAATTTGTGATTTTTTAGCTGTACTTATTCCAGCAAGAACTTGGAATTTGGTGGGTAAATGTACGTTATTTGATACACCACTAACTACTTGGTGCTTCAAAATACTGGTAATTGGCTTGCTTTTTAAGGGTAATTGATGATTAATGAAAAACTACATAATTCAATGAGGAAAGAGTCTTCCTTTGCTAAATTTGGGCATTTTCCTCAAATGGGCTCACATTGATATTAGGACCTCAAGTCCAATAAAGAGGGGCTCTCTGTTGAAATGAAAAGTAAATGGCCCAATTACATTATTTCAGCCCGCTAACATTATTATCTTCAGAATTTTTTTACTTGATTCTTCACCGGATTTTCGGTACTTGTTTGGGGAACCTGAGTCCCAATTTTGAAGTTGTGTATTCCTGATCGACTCCATTCTAGCTTCAGCTCGAAAACTCTGGTTAAGGATGAAATAATACTGACCATCTTTTTTTGTCAATAGACTTTCAATTCTGATATTCTTTGTTAATGAGCTGTTCCTCGAAAGCATATAGTTGGGTTTATAATAGTAGTAGGCCTGTGAGGTGCAAGTCATCTACAATAACATTTTCAATATAATCTCACAAGTAGGGTATGAAGAAGGTACAATGTACACAACCTTATCCCCTACCTGATAGAGATAAATAGATTATTTCCGATAAACCCTCAAAATCTAAAAGCAGTTTGGAAAAAGAAAATACGGAAATGAAATCAGTAATTCGATTGAGTAAATACTACTGAAAAAAAAGTTGTTGTTTCTTGATAATAGCAAAATGTAATAGTATATAATATGTAAAGCACCGAATTTATGCTGGGCTCGACAACTACATTATTGATAGATTCCCACATGATGTAATTTGCACCCTTTAATAGTGCTACTATATATAATTATATATTATCTGATTAATTTATTGCTACATAAAAAGAGTATCTTATTTGGATTTGCTCCCTTTACCTTTTTTGTTTCCTAACTTTTTCAGAGTGGGATGCACACCAAAGTTCATAGTGGGGGAATTCCCAGACCTAAAACTACTACTATATTTTCTTGTGGGGTTAATTAAGCTATAAAAAAAATCCTGTTAACATAAGTACTCCAATTGGCAACCAAGGGTGAAGAGTGTGAAGGTCAGTGGTTGAGAACCTGTGAGGTTTCAGGTTTAAAACTCAATGGAGACAAAAAATATAAGGTGATTCTTTTCATCTGTTCGAGTTTTGGTGGACAAAGTTACATGGTACCTGTTGTTAGTGGAAGGTGAGAAATATTCCATGAAATTAGTTGAGATGCGTGAAAGCTGATATGAGCACCACGTTCATTAAAAAAAAAGTACTCCTATTGAATAATATTACTTGATATGAAAAACTAGCATGCCATGATCATCACTTAGTCATCCGCTCCTACTAGTAATTTAATACAAATTTTTCACCTCTTGACTAATATTTAGTGATGGTAACTAACCTTCTCAGGAAAAAGTTTTGCCATGTGTATTCATATTTTTGTAATGCATAAATATTTGGAAGAATGTTTTTGTTGTGATTTATCGGTCACGTGTTTGATGGTGTAATTAGCTACTAATTCTTGTATCGGGATAGATATCTTATATCACATAACACTCTCTTTATAAGTGGCGATTCTTTTCCAAACCTGACATGAATGTGGAATGTATAATGCACCGGATTGGTTTTTTATAAAAAAAAAAATAAGTTTTTTTCCATGACTTTCCTCCCATATAACTGAAAAGTTTATTAGTAAAATATTTGACGGAAGTCAAAAGTGTTCATTTTTTGAAAAATTAAAAGGAGAAAAAATTGCTCAGGAATAATATTAAATGACAACTTTAAATATACCCCATATATAAGAGATATTTTTGTCATTTTCTAGCACTATTTACGCTATCGTCTAGTTGTTATCTTGTTGAAACAAAAATGATAAGATTTTGTTGCCCAGTCTATCAATATATGGCCCAAGAAAGAGTTTTAACGAAAGACAAAATTAGCAGGCTACATGTGAAAACCATTGGATGATGTTTCTCAACGTTGATGGATGATTACATTATGAATTATTTCATGGGAGATATAAATTATATGTAAAAAAATTGGAAGTTTTCAAATATATGTTTGATTATGTGAATTTTATTTATATTTCTAAATGTTTGAACAAAATACCTCATAGTTTAGCTGAAATGTTTATTTTTTCACCGAAAGAAATCTCTTGAGAGATGTTTTTTTTCCAAAATTGGGTTGTACATCATATTAAGGTTATATTTGAATTCTGTAATTCGTTAATGCAGTAATACTGTTAAGAAGTTCCACATCGATAGAGGAATGAGAAATTGGTCTCTTTATGTGGATTTGAACAAATCTTTCTCGTGAACTAGCTTTTGGGATTGAGTAATTAGGCTCATGTGTCTCTTTATATGGACTTGGATAAACCTCTCTGTATGAGCTTGCTTTTGGGGTTGAGCTAGGCCCTGCCAATCTCAATTGTTGTTCACCAATGTTGAACCCTTATTTATAAGTGGTCACGCTCCAATTGAGGTCCACATGTATCGGTAGAGGGATGGAAAATTGTTCCACATACATAGCGGAATAAAAAATTGATCACCTTATATGAACTTAGACAAACCTTCCTCGAAAAAATTGTATTCGATAAATTAACCTGAAAAATGTTTGATACTATTAAGATCCTTTTACTCATATAAAGTAGCCGTCTTAGGCTTGTGCCAAGTAATAAAAAAGGCAATCAGAAAGAACTAAAATTTTCGATACATTCTAATAAAAACATTAGATTACAAACATTGGAAGTTACCTTTAACGATACTAACAAACAATTTTTCATAGTGTTCTCCGTCTTATCAATTAAAATCTTACATACATGAAAAACATATATTTCTTCCTAATTTGCACACAAAAATATATACTAAGTTACTAAAATTCTCATCACTTTTCAATTTTAAAAACATCGAGTGCGGGTAAGTATTTTCCAATCAAACTTATGGGTTCTCTTCCCTTTCCATCCCCATCTCGAGCATCGCCGCGTTCACCGGAAAATTCCACGTCAAGGTACTCTATTTTTGCCTCATTCTGTTCAACAATTGTGACAAATGATGCCACTATTACAAATTGGATAGCATGTTATGATCCTTCTAACAATACTTGGAATTATGTTACGTCGATCCCTGATTTACCTGAAAATCACGTACTCAAGGACTTTGCGATGGTCTCAGTCTTGAATTCACTATATATTATTGGCGGTCGACTCTGTAAAAAAGAGAAAACTCAAAATGTTCAATATGGAATCGATGAATTTTTCGATAGGGATATTGATGTGATGTCATTGGTGTTACGTTACGATGTTAATTCTAATCAATGGTCAAAATGTGCACCACTTAATGTACCACGTTACAATTTTGCCTATGTTGTTGAGGAAAATAAAATTTATGTAGCTGGTGGGCAATCAATGTTGGGTAGTGCTAGGGGTACTTCATCAACTGAAGTTTATGATACTTTAATTGATGATGGTCAATGGACTTTATTGACAAATATGAATAGGTCAAGGTGCAAATGTGTTGGCGTGACGTGGCAAGGGAAAATCCACGTGGTTGGTGGATTTGTACAGGGTGGAGGATTTTCGCAATATGTTGACCGTTGTTCAGCTGAGCTGTATGACATGTCAACGGGTCAATGGGACCTCGTGGCAGGGATGTGGCAGTTGGATGTGCCAGCTAATCAAATTGTTGAGGTGGATGGTAGGTTATTTAGCTCTGGGGATTGTCTTAATGTATGGAAAGGTAATGTTGAGGTCTATGATGGGAAACTTAACATATGGTACATGGTTGAAGGTTCACAAAATAATATTTTCCCCTTTGAAGAAAATGGACAATTTATTCATCGACTGTACTTAACAATGGCCCCAATTGGGACACATTTGTACTTTTTGGCAGGTTATCGGACAGTCGATGATCCATTAAAAACAATATCAACGGTATATTCATTTGACACATCAGCAATGGGTGGTGCATGGAAGAGCTTCGAGCCGATACAAGAGGAAGGGGAAAGAGAGCTATGTAGTCATTGTTGTGTTGTCCAACTCTATTAGCTAGCTAGGGTGAGAGATTTTTCTAAAGCAACAAAACAAAAATTTCGTACCATTTAGGTATTGTATAATCTTAATTTTCACCAGATTCTGCGTATAGCAGAAGTTTAGTGCATCAGACTGTTTTATTTTTTTTTAGTAATCATCATAACTTGCTTTCCAAGAAAACATAGAAGAAAAAGTGTGGGGAAATCCCTTTTTCCTTCACTAGAGGAAACAACCAAAACCATTATGGTTTGCTAAAAATAAGAAAAGAGATTAAGCAAACATGATTTGATTGTCTTTCTAGCTAGGCCCCTTACTAGTATAATAGGTCTTTAAGCTTTATATGACATATTTTATGTTAGCAAATAAATTAAATGATGATGATGTTGGACAAATGTCCCTACTTAGGTCTATGAAAACAGGTTGTTTTGTTGACAATTGATTTTTCTACAAAATGTCAATTGCAATTAAGGACTATAAAAAGATTAAAATAAAAATATTTTATGCTTTCCCCTAGCTAGTTACTAGCATGAAATTTATTTTTAAAATTTTCTTTTTAGGGATTTGCCTAAGTAGTAGTACTAGATTAAAAGATTTGGTGAGACTTATTAGTGTGTTAAACTATGATTAATTGCTTTTTGGCTTGTCTGCAATCATTTCACTAATATACAATGATGTTTTTTTTTCTTTTTGATTTCCTACTCGGTGTTCTGTATTCATATTGGGGATCAATTAAATATAGATTTGCGTCAGAAAATCCCACGGGGATAAAGTGATTTCTAACAAAGGCGACTCTGTACAAGGATACTCAAACTCGAGACTTCTGATTTAGAATAAATGATCGTACTTACCATTCTACCACGAGACTTCTAA